CTGCTAAGGGAATCCTGACTACACTCCCAGCTGGAGATTAAACAACTGTTGTACGTAATGCAACAAAGCACGCTGCACAGCTTGTTCATAAAGGAGAAAGAACTTTTAGTGATGAGTTTAATCGTCACCACAGATTGCGCACTCCTTGAACAACATGCAAAAGTACACTTACTTTGTCAGCTTTTAGTTCTTTAATATAGACACCTGAGTCAAAAGAGGTCATTACACTACACATCAGACTCACATCTCACAAAATGGAGAGAATCACATATGATCAGGCGTCTTCCAGAAGCACGCTAAAGTATTACATGGATGACTGGCATTGCATGGAGAGTAAGCGCAGGTTCCTTTTATTTGAGACCGAATACTACCAAGAATAACTACTATAGCTACTGGCAACTGCTTCTGGTGCAAGTCAATCACAAGGCTCAAGATCAACTTTTAGAGCCAGAAGACTGCCCTAATCATTCTAACATCACACCCACCCACCATGGTAAGGATGAAGTAAAAAATCCTAAATGTGAAGATCTTTTATTCAGCGATGCTTTTTTATCAAAGGCTTCTAATGCTGTGCTACTCAGAGAAATTAAGTGCTAGGATTTCAACAATAGCTATTTAAATAGTACAGCAGGTTTTCTTCACAGGGACCGAGTTTAAGTTACTTGTCCTTGTTCAGTTTTATAATAGTTTGATTTTTTTTTCCCCCTATAATAGTCAAAGTTGCAGATCCACAGCATACATGGAAGTATACAAGCAGGTAATTTTGTCATGGAAGAGGATCAAGCTACAACAGCATATAAGGGGAAAAATATCTACATCAAAGAACCTTTAGTATTTTAAAACTGTATCTACAACCCGAATGGGCGTACTGCTTTAATACACAGTTGAAACTTGTAATACTCAGGGCTTGGCAGTTTTACAGTTACGGTAGAACATAAAAATTAGGAATGCTTTACGCACCAGAAGGTATCCTCGAAACTGGTTGTATATTATTGCTGTAAGCAAGTTCATCAGAAACAAGTTGCCTATTGGAGAAAGAGAGGCAGTGAGAATTACTGAAATATATTTCTGTTTCTCAAAGAAGTTTCAATGTATATAGTAAGTGACATGTAAGATTTTAAAGGGATTAGTTTTCTTGTTTGATTTCCAAATCAAACACAAGATTGTTTGTGTTTGATTTCCAAAATGTTTTTAATGTTTGAATATACTATAATGTATCCATTCCCCTATGATATGTTACTGAAAAAGAACAAACCATTCATAAGTGCCTTCTATGAAAATTATCTTGCAAGATACTACACAGTAATCAGAAGAAACACAAGAAGGAGAAATTTATGATTAAACTTTCCTAGAAAAATAAAACACTCTGTAGCTGATATGCACAAGTGTCAAAGTTAAAGTGCATTTAAATTACTGAAGACAAGAGATAACTTACCTAATACAGTGAAGAGTATGAAGAAGACTGAATATGCTCGATTCTTAGAATAAGCAGGAAGCATCACTGTGTCAGATTTAACGAAAAAGGAAAAGGAATTTAATGCTTAAGACGAAAACTGGAGACCTCTATCAAATTCTGGCAATTGGTAAAAGCTCTTACATAGCTCCACTTCAGAGATGCATATACAATTACACCAAAGGAAAGGCAAGAATCAAGTTACTAAAGGCATGAAAAATCTACAGAACCTTCCTCTGGCTGTACTAAGAACTATCAGCTGAAACAATGGCTATAGTAGTCTGAAGGTAATCTTACTCTCTTATTCTTTGAAAAGAGAGACGAGTTATTTCTGGAAGATTGCTCACCATCAGGATTATTTGCAGTAGTTAGCAGGACCAGCAGTGATGTCAGTGAATCCGGCAAATTCCGGAAATACCCCACCCACTCCTTATCCTGCTGGCCATCCTAGTCAAAGAGATGTTCGTTGTTAGGGAAACATTGAAGAATCACTAAGACTGTCTTACCAAGCGAGGGGGAAAAAAATTTATAAAAAAAGAGTCAATAATCAATTTCTTACACAATCAAATCCACCCCGTGAAAAAAGTACAAGACAAGCACAAAAACTAGGAAAACATGTAGGAATACAGTGCAATCATTTCACTTATTAACAGCCATTAAAAACATAAGGAAGAACAGCAAGCTAAGACAGACACAGGAGGCTCAATATAGAAGTTATGTCTAGCTAACACCTCAGACCCAGGAAGAACAATAATGTCACAAACAGACAATATAGGAATCTGAAGCCACCCTTGATTGATATAAAAAGCATCACCTCTTAGCCTGCAAGAGATATCAGTGTATTAGAGCTAAAAGGACTCCCTAAACATGATATTAAAAAAAAAATAATCACAAACAGACTAATACCATCTTCAGTGTCAACTTGCATTATAAAAATTAGTGTAGAGTAGAAGCTACTTGCTTTGTTGCTACAGCACGCTGTACCTCAGCATAGATGGAAAACTAATCACCCCGAATTGTATACTCTAGGACTACTCTCCAGGACTTGTCCAAAAGCATAATACAATTTGAGGACAACATTAAAAGAGATCTTGTCTATACTGAAGAACAGAAACAAAACAAGGATGGCAACATCTGGGTGACCCCGCAGCCTCCTCAGTAATGAACAGCTGCCTCAGTGACTGCCATGTTACAAAAGATCCTTGCCTATAGATTATGAGCTCCTCTCAAACGCCTACAGCTCTACTAGCGTACTCACTGAGCGTGAAATGCGTCTCCCACTTCTCCTTTGACTTCTGAATAGAAAACTTAACATCCTCTGAATTAGTTATTTGCACAAAAGTTACTACCATTACTTGGAAAGTTTCCCCCTTTCTCCAGTTATCCCCTTACATACTCAGGGGCTTCTGTTTAATTACAGCAAGATCTACACAGAACACAGCCAGTCAAGTTTTAGGTCTCCTTTCAATAACGTATGTGAAGATGTACTTAAAGTATGAGTGCAAGGATAGTCCTCACCTGATTTTAGAGGAAATAAATATTTACACAGATAAGGGCACACAATATAAAGCAATATGCTATAACCAGCATTAGCGCACATTACAGAAGTTGTTGGGCAGGTGGAAAACATACAACTGTTCTATTTTGAAAAGATGAAGATTCAAAATGCCATGTACAGTATCAGTGAAAACATCACATAGAGCTTAAACATTGGGGCAGGGGGGGTGGAGAGATCAGTGCTACAGCACCCAAAAGGTATTGGCAAATACTTTGGCAACTAAGGTCATCAAAATTATTTTGTGACTCAGTGGAAATGTCAGATGATCTGCTTAAGCTCTGATGGTATCAAAATGTTCAGCAAAAACACACTGGGAGACTGATCTTGCATCATTCACATATTTATTTTTTTTGCCCAAGTTCAAGTAGAGACAGCTAAAAAAGATGCAGAGTGCAAACAATACAAACATGAATCAGGCAATACAGAACAAATAGCCCCTGAATCTGCTGCAAAGACTGGAAAAACGTACCTCTAGAGGATATACACAAGACAATGAAAAAATCTAGGGGCGTGAATTTCATTAATAAATGTATTTTTAGAACTTGCTTTCAGTATTCTGCCTTGTTAGATACAATTACTTTGCACGGGTATTAGACTAGCAAATCAAAAAAGGAAAGAAAGACTGCTCTCTAATTTGTTGTTTTCACCTAAATGTACACAAAATTGACTGGTTCGGGTATATAAGTTATATTCCCATCTGCTGGGAAAGCTCATAACTGAAATTAGACATGACATACAGAGATAATACAAAGATACAGCATGCAACTAAACTAAGGGGAAAAAATAGAGCTCTACTTCTAATTCCAGAAATTCTATAACATGGGAATTCAAGGAATTTGCTGATCATAAGGAAGACTAGAGGCAGGCTCAAGTGCAAATTGCAGTAGGAATGAAGGTGCAAACTTGAGATTAAGGAGAGGACTAAAATTACTGGGAGAAGTATGCAACAAATGTTTGTACTCATAGGAACACATTTATGGAAGGCCTTAAAAAGTAAGGACAAAAAAAAAATAAATCTGAGTATGAAACATTAAGATACAGGAAGTTCAGGAGAGGGAACATACCAAGAGCACTGGAACACAAAAGTGATTTTAACCACAAAACTTCAAATTTGCTTTTTGGAAGTAGGAAGAGAGAAAAAAAACAAACACAAACAACCCACAGAGGAAAAAACAAAGAGATCAGAAACCAAAACATTGGAGAAATGCAGGCAAGAACCTACCAAGGCATGGCCAGGGATACCAGTATTGGAAGATAAGAAAACAGAGGAAACTAACCTTAGCAAAAAGCTAGATAAGGAAAAGAAAAAAGAAATGAGTGATAATATAAACAAAAAAGTGAAAAGATTAAGAGCTTTGGGCACAGAACAGCATAGAAGGTTTCAACAAAAGCAGAGAAAGTAACTCGAAGGATCAAATTGGAGAATTGTATAAGGAAGCCTCTTGTATAAACAGACTTTAAATTTCTCACCTGTGATAATGGCATCAATACCAGTAATATGCAGAATCATAAAGATGTTGACCACATTTTAGAATGGAACCATCTAACCTCGTTCTGAGCAGCAGAGCTAGACTAATAAAATAACACGCCACAGCTTACAGCAAGAGTGAAAGATTTCAGTTGTGGAGTAGGAAGGAGCGTAATCACTTAAGAAAAAGTGCAGTCTGGAAAAAAAAAAGTCTTCACTAAAGGATAAGGAGATTCTAACACTATCCTAAGGGGCCTTCTAGTGCACACTTACATAAACAGCACTACACATGGATACTATGCACACATTAAATCTCTCTAAATTGACTTTAAACTCATCCTAGTAAGTTTGACAAGGTAACATGACTTTTTCAGGGGGAAAACAGTTTCACTAGTTTGATTATAAAACTAGACATGCAGCAACTATGCAAGTAAAGTAAAAAAACACCGAGATCTACCACAGCATAAACATAATTGGTTACCTTTGTTCGAGCAAACAGCAGCATGGCAAACATGGTAAAGAGAGACAGATGAACAGCTAGTAGTAGAACAACACTGTTGGAAAGAAAACAGATCATACACATTAATACCAATTTTATCTTATTCTTAATATCCTTTGCTAAAAATGCCACATAAAGAAAACCAGGGGTATTTTTAAGAAGCTATATGAAGATAGCAGAAGATGATCCAAGTTTTGATTCAGAATAAGAATCACACTTGTTCACGACCCCTCAGCACAAGCTTAGACAGTTGTGAGGTCAATGAGATTCCAACACTTGTTTTTCTAAAGTTAGGACCGTATTTACACCCTCCAATCAAAATACAGCATCTTGGCTTGCATACACCTTTGATTCTTGTGGGACTTGTTAGTTAAAAAGTAAGAGGCAAGGACAGTGAGTTCTATAAGCTGTACACATACACGACCCACGTCACAGGAAGAGATCTCTTTCAAAAAGCATCATGCTGTCTGGTTACGATTTCACCAGTGGGGTTTCCAGTTCAACATTTCTAATGACAGTAAAATTTAACACATATATGGCTAAAAACATTTAGAAATGAAAAAGCTGAAGTAAACCATTCTGACATTGTAAAGAAAGAGGCACTCACGACCGGAAGACAAGTACGCGTGTGTCTACCCATACTTCTGAGATGCTACCTTGGAGAACCATGGCATAGACCTTTGCCCAGATGATGCCTCAGTTCTTCCCTTACAAAAGGGATGTATGTAACATATACAGAATTAAAAAACACCACTCAGCTAGCATCAAAAACCTTATCTGTCACATACAGAGTCACACCATAGGCATTCTAGAGAAATTTTACAGACTAAAGGAATCAAAAAGTTAACACAACCTCCATCCATTGCTACCTGATCTCACCAGCCACTTAGCTAGACCGCCAAGAAGGAAGCTACTCAGATGTCACACGCCAGAATACTAAGGGTAACTACATGCTTGCTGTGAAAGGATGTTTTCTATGCTATTACCTACCTTGCCATTTCAGGCAATGTGCTGTTGATACTTTTTAACGTTTTCTTCATCATAGAAGAATTCTGAAGGAGAAAGAAAGGACGAAGAATTCTTCTTATTCTCACATTCTGCAAAAACCAATGGATCAGACACTGAGTTCCCATATGACTAGCGCCACAACTATTTTTAATACAAGTTTGTCAAAAAACACTGATACACATATCAACAAAGTCAACAGCGTAGCATAAAAAGGCTGTGCTCAGAAGCTAAATCTGTCCCACTGAAGTCACAAAACACACAGAAGAGATTTTATACTTATGGGTGCCTCATTAAAAGAGTGAGAGATTGAGAGATTGCTTTAAAAATCCACATTGACATTTCAATAGCCTCATCAGGCCACTAATTATAAACAATCTAACTTTACTGCACAGCAGACATAACAAGCAGGTCAAGAGATGGCATTTACACATTTTCTGCCAAGGTCCATTTCAAAAGAGGAAATAATAGCCAGCTACTTTCAATAAACAGACACACGTTTTGAAAATAAGTACTTGATTTCAATTTTCAGCCTTTTTTTTTTTCTTTTTGTAATTAAAGGGCCTGCTTATTACTCAGCAATTTCTGCCTCTGACAAGACTCAAACAGGTGATTGCTTTTCTTTTCCTTAACATACACTAAAGCAATTAAGCTGTTTGATTCTTGCATCCAAGACACTTGCCAGCCTTCAAGTTATTTCTGTGTCTTATCAGCTACTTCAAGTATTTCAGCATCCTGCATTTTAGGACCAGTCTTCTCAGGGCCACACATAACAGCCAAAAAAATCACTTTCTTCCTCGCGATTCCCTTGTTCATACATCCCAGCAGTTAAACTGCTCCTTCTGCCACTGCTTTGTAAGGGAGGCTCCTGTTCAAACTACTTGTCCACTATCACACCTAAAGATTTTACAATCACTTCTTTCCAGGACACATTCCCCATGTTGCAAGCACAATCTTCATCCCAGATAATTAACTTCTTTCAGCCACATTATATTTATTTGGCTTGAATATGAAAAGGACATATGCACTTTTCTTATAATTAGATGCTTATAAGCTTAAGTGACACGTTCTTTCAACATTTTAAGATTATCTCTTTGATACTACATCACATCCTGGTCAACGGTGACCAGTGGTCAACTATGACCACTGAAGCATGAACAACTAAACAGTGGGTTACTAATAGTAGCAACTGCATCCAACCTAATCCTGACTAATACAGACAGTAATTTGAAATAGGTTTGAAAGTTATCTGAAGGCAACAGATAATGGCTTTGACACAAGAACTTACACAAGAAGCAAAATTCAAGATTTCTGCCTCATTCACTTCCCAGCGTTTTTACCACATTAGTGTTTTCTTAACAATGATTGTAAGCAAACAACTAATTTCATGCAGATTTATGTCACGGCAGAGAAAACCAATTGGGAGATTGCATTGTTACATAAAGGAGGGCACTTTTAGAACCGTTTCATAAAACTGACCTTCCTCTCAGGACACAATTGTTTTGGACACGACACAGCTTCATCTTAGAAAGCAGTTGTTAAGATATACAATTACCTTTTACTTCAACATCACTACAGAGACTCCGCCATTGAATCAAGTTAAGAACATAATTCTCCAACTGCATGACAAAATTAGTGCTATGCAACCAGAGTTTTCTCTATGATCTGAAAGTTGACAGACTATAACAACAAAGCTTTATTTAATTTTACTGATGAACTCGTATCTTATATTAAGAATCAAACAGAATCTCTCGAGAAGCTGTATTACACCAAACATTCTGTGTTTCAGTGTATTATCCATCTATCCAAGACCAAAAATGAACCATCTCACCCTCCCCCCTTAATTCTCCAATATATCACATAGGCCCTGCAGAACCTTTGCAGGTTCTTCTCCTTTGCCACTCTCCACAACTAAGTTGCTGATTGTTTCTGCAGAAAGCAGTTCTTACCTCTGTGCAGAAAAAACTCAGCGATACAATCCAATCAGTAAGGGAAACAATTAATGTCAGTATATAAGCCATCAGCCATTTATTTTTCCAAAATTCTTCCCATCCAATTAAGTAACTCTGGGGAGGGGAAAAAAAAAAAACAAACAAACAAGCAACTTATTTTAATAATAAATTCCAATACCCTAGCAAGTCAGTACCAATTGTTTTCCAAGTATTTGTAGTTTTACATCAGTGCTCATAAGGAGCTTCCTGAAATCCAGACAAAAATACACTGATCAGAGAATTTTTCTACAAGAACTAAATAAAAGGTCAGTAGATGCGAGAGGTGCACACAGGCCGTGTGAGAGGAATCCTTTGAACGCAAGAAAAATGTCCACTTAATAACCATAAAAAGAGATTTTTCCAGAAACAAATGTCCCAAGAAAAGTTCAGTTTCTGATTATTTTTATTTTGCTTTGTTTAAATGAACTGGCATACATTGGATTATTATATACCCCAATTTTTATAGCCTAATACAAGCAGCTAAGCTAAAATCACTGTATTCTTAGCAAAGTTTATTTCACTTATTCCACACAAACAGGAGTTTATATTTCTTAGGTTAAAAAACAAAAAGCAATGATTTTTCTAATTCAGAAAATATGCACTTTCTAATTTCTCCTGAAAGTAAGGCTTTAATATAGCAAAGCAACCTCACTATGAAAATCCAAGATTTGAGTAACAGTTCCAAGACATTTCTCCCAAAATATAAAATGGAGAAAAGCCACACTGACTATACCTACTGAGCTGCCCAACAAACTTATTATTGCATTCAATACCAGATGAATGTGATGCTCACCTTCACGGATACATCAACCACGAACACAAGAAAGCAAAGCAGCTCAATGCTTTCTGTTAGGCCACACGGAGGATTCCATGCAGGAAGGCGGTATCGTACATCTGACGTGATGGTAAGCGAAGAAGGCTTTTCAATGAAAGCCAAAGCCAGGATTATAGTAATGGTTAAACTCAAAATCCTGTTTGGATAGAGATGAAATTAAAAAAAACCACAACAAAAAAAAACACAAACCCCCAAAAAACACCAAACCCACAAAATGAGTCAAAAGAATAACAAAATACTTACAGTAAAGCAATTTTCTTCAAAGTAAACAAAGCTTTATAATATCATATTTAACACAAATGGGTTAGATCACAACGCAGCACTTGATTAGCATGCTGTTGCCTGCATTAGAATAATGTAACTGCTGACCACACCAAATAACCTCAGGTGGTATTCTTTTGAAACTAACATCAGCAAACAATCTTGCTACTATTTAATATGTTTAGAAATAGACAGTTGGAAAACTCTAACACACAGTGCTGTAAATCATGCCAATAGTCCATTCATGCAGCAGTCCTATGGCTGTTGCAAAGAGCCATCTACGTGACCACACTTTCATGTATCTTGTTGCTTTCCACTTCTATCATGTTCACATGTAGTCAATCCACTGGCTTCCTACAGTAAGTTCGTATAGGGATAAAAGCACAATTAACTAATTATTTAACAAAAAAGAGAGATGAAGAATAACTTTCTTTATAAAGACTTACTCCTAAATGAAAAAGCAAAAAGAATACCAAGTTCTTACCACTGACATGTTCTTGAATAGTACCACCGATAAAGCCACAGGGACTTGGAGTCCACACGGTGATTTATAGATCGATACTGAAGGCAGAAAGCAAAAAGGGTAATTCAAACATTGCATTCAGTCTGTCTCAAAGACAAAGATCAAGTTACCAAAATAAACCAAGTTCTAATCAACAAAGCTCAAGTCTTGAGACAATTCCAGTTTCACAATAAGATAAAGAAATTATTGTACAAGTTATTAATTATTAAAGTGTCAGTCACCAATGACCATAGCTGTAGCCTACACACGTGCAATGGAAAAGTTTTTAATCAAGTTTTCCTAATCTAAAGACCACACAGTTGCTCAGATAATGAAACTGTGGCAGTCATCTGAAGCAAGCATTATCATCATTACAAATAACAGCATCTGTAATAACTCAGTGCCTATTCTATTTACTCGCCAAAACGGTCCACCCACTTTTGCTAGTTTACCTTCCTAGCATTCATTCTATCCATGGATCTTCTTTTGTCTCTCACTTCCAAAAAGCCATAAGATGCAAACAATTTAATTTTGAATATAAGAGACCTCAACCTAGGTCTTTAAACAAAACATGCTTTAAGTTCAAGGAAGTATCTGTGATTCTTCAGAACAGGCCTGCTCTTGCCAAAATCTGCTCAGCCCCTCCTCAGCAGCTGCTCCTGGGCTGCTGTTACTCTGCCTCTGCTGACAAGTATCTGCTTCCAGAAAGGTGTGCACACCTTAAATATATCTGATCCCCAGAAATCTCCCAACCAAAAGCTATCTGAATGCAGCAAGAGAACTCAAGAACTGCACGAGAGCTCCAGCATTCCCACTGCCTGCAGCTAATAACTGGGAGATAACAGGATCTAGGAATATGCAGTAACGGCCAGTAAAGGAGAGACAAAGAGAGAATGAAGACTTTCAAAGGCACCAAGTTCAGCTGAAGCAAAAGAGTTCCAGCTTCTCGCTGGAAGCTAGCCTTAACTCTACCAGCTCTTAAGCTATGCAAGTAGTCAGATTTAGAGGCAAATTACAGGGTTTGCTCAGATAGTTTCTCTTAGCAGTAAGGCCAGTCACTCAAAAAAACAAACTAACAAAAAAACCACCACCACACAAACCCAAAACCGAAAACCACCCCACAAACCAACATCTCTTTTGACGACCCTGAAGAGAAGACACTATCTATTTCATTGTGTGAAAAAACATGTTCCTCCTAGGCAGAAGTTCACTGAAACTTGCATACCACAGGAATTAGAAATTCTGATTTTGCTTTGTAAATCAACACGATGTTATGTGGAAGTTGCCTGAACACATAAAAATTTAAAAGCTAGCAGAATGCGTGACAAATATCCAGCATAGGAAGCATAATAGCTAACAAACAAGTTATATTTACCTGGATTGCATCTTCAATAAATACTATGGCTTGGTTTATATAAAGGTTATTATCAGCTCCAGTACCTATGAAGTTAAAAAGAAATGAGAATCATTTGCTGTATTCTAGATAAAGCCTACAGCTTACTTATCAGTTAACAGAAGCTCCACAACCGCGGTTCTCATGATAAAGGGCACTGTACACACAAAAAGGAAAGAGACAGCTCCTGCCGAGTTTGCTCTGTCAGCAGCATCGTGCATTAAATTAAATAAATAATCATCTCAAACATATCATGCATCTTTCTGTATTTTGTGGAAATGTTCTCTCTTACATTTAGCTTCAGTAGCTAGATTACACTAGTAGGTAGATAGCTATCACAAGACTAGAATATTTCTATACAGAGACAAGCCTTAAGTAACACACATCGTAATGGAGCTTCAATCAAATTATTCTTTGACAAAGTGTACAGCCAAGTGAAGCTGAAAAAATCAGACACTAGTATTCTAGGCACTTTTACTTTTGTTTAATAAAGGTACTGAGCTTTAGGTTGATCTCATTCTCTCCAAAACCAACAGAAATCTCCAGGCAGATGAGAACAAAATTAAGTCCTTTTTTAATTTGTCCTGACAGTTATTATTACCATACCAAACAGATCAGAGTTCAAGACATAGAAAGGGGTGAAAGTACACAAAGTGAAATAAAATATCACCAAATCAGTTACTATGCAACATCTCAAAACCCATTACTAAGAAGTCCATATGAAGACATATACATAAAGAATAAAGGGCGTTCACTTGCATTCACTTGAATTGGGACATTTGAGTAACTAACCTGGCAATTAAGCCAACAAGAGAGACAAAGGCAGTTAAGGCCAAAATGAGGAATGGAAAAAAAAAAAAGGGGGGGGGGGGAGAGAGAGAGAGAAAGCTGAGGGGGCTAGAGATATGAAAAATACGTGCTAATGTAACCTTCCCACAGAGGGGAAGAGGCCCAAGGAGCACTCCATACCATCTCCTCCCAGGAGACGGCAATCACAGCACGGGATACAATGAGAAAGAGTCAGTCCCAGTGCTAGCACAATGTTCTCCAGACATCAAGCAACACCAGAAACACCATTGATCTGAGTCCCAGATGATTTTAAGTTCCACATGATTCAGCGGCATCAATTTTCTACAAAGATTGCAATCGGTTTTTAAGGATTGCAGGAAAGACTGAGCATAAACAGGAGAGAAGCGAGGCTCATACAATAAAGAGCTTTTTCAAGACATGACATCAGTGAGATATAAATGAAGTTTTTTAAAGTTAAAAGGATAGCAAGGACAGCAAAAGCTTTAGGTTCGTGGAGCACACAACACAAGCCTAGCATTAATCCCAACTATTTTGAAAGGGCAGAATCTAAGCAACTGCTCTTCATATAAAAGTAAAACAAGGAAATTACTACGAAATGTTTACTTTAGCAATTTCAGGTTTGTTGTTTTTTTTTAAAACCCACATTTTCCATGCATGCTACCGAGGAAAACCAATTTATTCTGCAACTCTTAATCACAGCAAGTGACACTTAGTCACAAGTGATGATTAAAGCACTGCTCAGTTTGGGCGTGCAGGATCTCTCCCAGACCCCGCTGCGCTTTTGACATCGAACAAACAGGCAACAAAAAGAGAAGGTTCACTTAAGTGATGTGATACCCTGAAAACGGAGAACCTGCGGTCTCCAAAGGAGCCTTTCCTGGGGGAATTGAGAAGTCAGGCCTCTAACGTGTACTGAGTTAGACAAAAAAACCCTATCAGCACCTTAAAAAAATAATAATTTTAAAACAACAACAAAATCAAGTCTCGGGCTGAAGCAGCGCAAGGTTCGCACCTAAGGTCAGCGATAGCGGCTCACTGCGTTCAACCAGCCAGGGCGGCCGCAGCTGGTCCCGCA